AGTGTCTGAGAGGAGGCAGCTGTCCAAGCTTCCATCCATCATGGACGCCACCTTCCACCCTCTGCAGCAGACTGGAGAGGAGCTGAGCTCCTTTAGTCAAAGACTTTTACAGCCTGTTTGGAAACAGGAGCTACTGCAGGTCATTCATCCTGCTGCCCCCAGACTCTACAATGAGACGCTACAACAGCAATAACTGCTGCAATGGACAGATGGATGGTCACCAGTCACTGTCTGGAGGACTAATGGTCATTATGGAGGAGAGACTCAGTGTTTCCGCTGGTGTCATGCTGGTTACTTTAACATAAGTCAGATTTGGAGTTCATGGGGCCAAGAAGTGGTTTTGTAGAAGAAGACAACGTTTTGAACTGACATCGATGATGATCTGCATCTGAAATGAAAAGCTTACCTAGAAAAAGGATGGTTTGCTTCCGCGCCGCCTTTACCGCTTCGCTCTCATGCTTGGCGGGCTTTTGAATGCCACTGATGCTCTTCTCCATGGATCTCAAAGGCTTCTTCAGTACTGCGATCATCGCCCGGCACATAAAGGCAACAGAGATCAGCACGATCATGTAGAGAACGAAAGCCCCAAAGATGCTGGCTCTGAACATCACCCAGTGCTCCCTCAGATTGGTGCAGAAACTCAGATTCTGGACGGGCATGTTGTCTCGGATCGGTATGTGTCCCTGGGTTCCTGTGGCGATCAGCAATGGCAAGGCGATAAGCATGGATAGCACCCAAGCAAAGGTGATCAGAGCAGACGTCCGTTTTCCTCCCAGAGCTTTGTAGCGAAAAGGGTGGCAGATAGCAACATAGCGTTCAAAGCTGAGCGTGGCCACATTGAGGATGGTGGCGTAGCTGCAAGCTTCAAACAGGAAGTTGTAGATCTTACAGGAGACGTTTCCTGAGGCCGATCCAAAGGGGTGCCAGATGGCGCTGTAGAGCTCCACAGGCATACCGATGAGCAGCACCAGCAGGTCAGAGCTAGCCAGGCTAACCATGTGGTCTGTGACATTCTTCTGCAGGTAGCCGTTCCGCTTTAGCACCTGGCTCACTCTGATGGTTACCGAATTACCCACAATCCCTGTGACCAGCATGAGGCTGTACAGGACGGTCATGAAAATCTTGACGGAGTACCTGGGCTCCAGTTTCCTCCAGTCTATTTTCCCATCTGTAGAGTTTCCCTCAGTCATGATAGCAGAGCAGTGAGCTGAGATTTTTCCAGTATTGATTAGCTTATCAGCTCTGCAGGGCACAGTCCCTCTGATTGGAGCAAAGACCAAGCAGCTCAAAACCACGCTGTGTTTCTCTGTAAGAACATTCGACTGAGCAAAGAGTTTGTCTGGAAGCAAACATCCAAAAACCAGCCTAAGTTTAGATAATGAATATCCGCTGCTGTCTTCTGAACTAGTTCCTTCCCGCAGTCGGCTTCCTCCGTCTCTTTCTTGACGAATTAGTGGATCCAGTCCTCTTAAATCTGCCTCCACAGTCTGCTTGATTTCAGCTCGCTGTGAGCCAACTTTTACCGCACACCCGTCCCCCCTCCCTGAAAGGAGGGCTGGGCGGTTAAACATTAAACCGGCAGCGGCTGCATTTCTTATCAGCATTAGTGTTTCTCCTGTTTACATCAGTGTCTAATGTCGGCTTTTATCAGACATCCAATAAGAGTAGAGACTTTGTTAATGACATGTTGGAGATTTTTTTCTCTTTGTCTTTTAAACTTTGAATAACTGACATTGGGTCTAATTTAATTAGCAGGATCTAAAGAATCTTGGCTTTGCTCTTCAGATTATTTCATTTGAATTTTTTTTTTTCATTTCTTAAAGGTAACAACTGGACTGAAATCTACATTAAAGCTTAGATTGATCTGTTCTAACCCATCCATAATGGCTGTGTTACGTTCCAGAATCTGCGTCCTCAAAGGACCCGTTCTACCTGGACGGGATCCTTCCAGGTCCGTGAAAATAAGGAAGCAGGAAGAATTTGGCTGTTGATTCAAACGGGTCCAACCTTCTCTGGCTTTCACCGCCTGTACAGTCTGTCACCTAGCAACAGTTACACACAACAGAGGAAAAGAATGGATGCTAAACTTCTCACTGCTGTTCTGGGCGCTAATAACATTTCTGAGGAGCTTCAGCAGCAGTACCGTCGTCTCAGATATCAGATTTATAGTCCCCCCGCCACCACCCCACCCTGCAGAGATGTTAGAATCTGAACTTAAATGTCAGCCAAACCCACAGGGACAGATAAAACCTTTGAATAAA